CAGAAAAGTTAATTACTGCTTGCTCTTTGGGCCTCTGTCCTTATTAATTTCTGTCCTTATTAATTTCATTTCCAATAATAGTTATACATTGTTAATACACAAGTTTGGAGTACTGGCTCCAAAGAAGGAGTGGATTGAAGAGAAAGAATTCTCTTAACTTCTGTTTCTTCTTTCTTCCAAATCTGTTTTAATGCATCCCCATCTCCCAGTTTGGACCATTGTTCTATTTTTCTCCATTATTCATTTATCTTTCTTGTAACTTTAATTGGATCTTTCTCAAAAAGAATATTAATTTGACCCATTTCATTATTAGCAGTTACTAACTGAGCATAAAGTGAGATTGGTGTTTAGGCTGTTAGTAAACAGTTTTTACCCATTAAATCCAAATCAGAATCCAAACGGAGTGATATTGCCTTCCTCAGAAGTCTTAACTGACAGGGCTCATCATAAATGTTTCTGTGCAAATATTGTCTACTCTCTAGTTCAGCGGTTCTCAACCTGTGGGTCGGGACCCCATTTGAGGTCGAACGACCATTTCACGGGGGTCGCCAAACAACGCAGTCCGCCATTCCCCCCCCCCTTTTCCTTAGCTGTGCTACTCCCTTTTATTCTATTGGCTTTTGAAAGCCAATAGAATAGACTCTCTGGAATAGAGTCTAATTCTATGGGCTTTCAAAAGCCAATAGGAATTGTCCAGGCTGTCTCTGCCCTGCTGAGCCCGCCAAAAGTCCCATTCTGCAAACGGTGCTGCACCAGTTGAGTAGTCCTCGACTTATGACCGGTTGAGTAGTCCTCGACTTACGACCGGTTGGGGGTCACGGCATTAAAAAGGTTGAGAACCACTGCTCTAGTTACAAACCCCCTCTAAGCGTGATAGCTTTTCATTATCCCCATCTATCTCAGCATATATCAGTTGACGGAAAAGTCAGAACACTTACTTGTTGGCTTTTGGTGAGATAGTTCCTCTTTTGGATGGTGTTAAGAGCATCTGAAAGTTGTCTCCTGTTCCAGTCTCTTCCTGAAATGTTTCTTTGGCTTGTTCTTAACTTTATTGCTTTTCTTTGTGTCCTGATTATTTGTATTTTCCCCTCTTCATTCAGGGAGACTAATTCCTCCGGTATTTTACAGCAGTTAAAATAATAAGTGTGCTAACTCTATAATAAGCAGCAATGAGTCTACAGAAAGGGGCAACAAATGGATGAATGATAACAGCTAGTTTTTCCCAGGATTAAATAGACCTGATATGGAGCCTGAAAAAACGGTACACTTTATTTTTCAAAAGTTGCATCCAATTCGGAAAACATTCACTGCTATCTTTAAGCCAGTCCCATTAAGTGATAATTTGAAACTGATAGGAACAAAACTCTGCCTTGCAAATCAATGCTGCAGTAATGGTTTTATTGCGAAATGGAGAAATTGCTAGGACTCAGTTGACTTCTTGATAGCTAAAAGTCTGCCAATGCAGAGAATTTTCTCAAAACAATGCAACCCCGCAATTTAATCAAAGCCAAGATAACAAGCCAGGTTTACTTCACCAATAGGGCTATGAAATGTGAATATATAAAAGAGAGCAAGCTATTACCAACTTGGTCAAATGATGAAGTACAAAAGCACGGCCAACCTTTATCCTAAAATTCATATTATTTTTAATGATTCCAATCTATAGTATTATAAAGCAACAAAGGAAGTCCATAGCAATTCCTACAACAAGAAGACATCCCCAGTCCTAATGCTTCATACATAAATTCAAATTCCCTAGCAAAGCTAACTGCTATTAGCCAGGAAAGCAAGAAGTAGCAAATACAGGTAGTCCTTGACTTACGATCACAATTGAGCCAAAAAATTCTCTTGTTAAGTTTGTTAAGTGAATTTTGCCCCATTTTACGACCTTTCTTGCCTTAGTTGTTAAGTGAATAACTGCGAAGTTAGTTGAGAAGTTAGTAACCTGGTTGTTAAGTGAATCTTGCTTCCCCCATTGGCTTTGCTTGTCAGAAGGTTGCAAAATGTGATCACGTGATTCAGGGACACAGCAACGGTCATAAATATGGAAACAGTTGCCAAGCATCTGAACGTTGATCACGTGATCACGGGGCTGCTACAATAACTGTAAGTGTGAAAACCGGTCATAAGTCATTTTTTTCAGTGCCATTGTAACTTTGAATGGTCACTAAATGAACTGTTGTAAGTCGAGGACTACCTGTAAGATGGAAGGTGGCGAAAATTATGTCTTCCAAATTTCAGTGATAACAATGCGGTTACCAAGCAGTCTTCAGTGTTGGATACGGTGAAAGTGTGTATGAAGATCAGCATTCACCCCTGATTTTATTTGCACGCTTTCCTTTCTTCAGCCATTCCCCGAAAGAGAACCTGTATTAAAAAGAATTCACACCCAACTTATCAACTATTTTTAAAGGTAACTTACAGTAATTTGAAATAGTAAAACTCTCATAGACAGCCAAGGAGACTTCAGTTCCATGCCAGTGACTAGGAGTAAAAAATGTACAGTTTAGTTGCCTTTGGGCTACAGCATCAAAAGAAAGCTGGAGCAAAAAAGTACTTTCTGCCACAAAAGAGGAAAGCAGCTGCTCCCTTTTTTGTCAAAAGATGAGACCAGAATATTTAATTCACACTTGAAATTTCTACCGCAAGAGTCATTTTAATATTTTCATTTGATCTTCCTTTCTGCATTTGATTTCCTGTATTTAATGCTGTCTTGGAAACAAGTAGTAGTAGTAGTAGTAATAATAATAATAATAATAATAATAATAATAATAATAATAATAATAATAATAATAATAATCATAATCATCATCCTATCTGTAATACCATCAAACATCCACATCTGCCTATCCCAGGTCCTGGGTAAGGACTCTATAGGTAGACAAAATGCCAAATCCAGTCTGAACATCTGGCTGACTGTGCGATGATCAATAATAATAATAATAATAATAGTAATAATAGTAATAATAATAAAGTTGGAAGGGACCTTGGAGGTCATCTAGTCCAACCCCCTGCTCAGGCAGGAAACCCTACACCATTCCGGACAAATGGCTGTCCAGTCTTTTCTTAAAAACTTCCAGTGTTGGAGCGTTCACAACTTCTGGAGGCAGGTTGTTCCATTGGTTAATTGTTCTAACTGTCAGGAAGTTTCTCCTTAGTTCTAGGTTGCTTCTCTCCTTGATTCGTTTCCACCTGTTGTTTCTTGTCCTGCCTTCAGGTGCTTTGGAAAATAGCTTGACTCCCTCTTCTTTGTGGCAGCCCCTGAGATATTGGAACACTGCTATCATGTCCCCCCTCGTTCTTCTCTTTGTGGAAAATGTTCAGCAATATGTGATATTAAACATATAAGTACTATGTCAATGTTACTACAGGGAGTCCTCGACTTACAACAGTTCATTTAGTGACTGTTCAAAGTTACCACAGCACTGAAAAAAGTAACTTATGACTGTTTTTCACACTTATGGCCTTTGTAGCATCCCCAGGATCATGTGATCAAAATTCAGATGCTTGGCCATTGACTCAGACTTATGACTGTTGCTGTGTCCCAAGGTCACCCTGTGATCACCTTTTGCAACCTTTTGACAAGCAAAATGGGGACGCCAGATTCATTTAACAACCGTGTTATTAACTTTTATCAACTGCAACGATTCACTTAACAACTGGGGCAAGAAAGATTGTAAAATGGGGCAAAACTCACAAATGTCTTGCTTAACAATAGAAATTTGGGGTCAATTGTGGTTGTAAGTCAAGGACTTACCTGTATTTACAATAACTCTTTTAACATTTTCCTTCCAAACAAACTCAATCTCTGAAGCCCTTGGTTCCATGGATAAGGCAAAGGCCATTACCCTTTTTGGCTTTGTAAATCTTAGGCACTAGTTCTTCCAAAGGATAAGGAGGGCAACAAGTTTGTTTGCTGTAATGCTCACTGCTTTTCCTCAGAGGTTAATCCTGGGTTGAGGAAGAACATTTTGCAACAGGGTGATTTACAGCAGAGAAGAGGGTCAACATTGGGAACAGTGAAATCAACAATTCCCCTCTGAGAAACGATGAGCACATTTGCATATTACAACGGTCAAGCTTGAAGCTCGCTTTGCTGGCACAACAATTATCGCTTCTTAGCTTGCCAAAAAACTTGGGCGGGGAGGACGGGGAATTGGAATGTAAGCTACAAAGATAGCCTACAAAGATAAAAAAGGCAGACCGTGAGAATCAAGGGCAATTGCACCTAATTGGGTAATGTGACCTATTCCTAAATAGGAGGAGAAACTCTATTCTTTACTATAGGGGTTTGGACTGGGGTTTGCTAGAGCTGGTTTTGCTTTCGTATGTGCTGAAATGATGTACTCAATAAAGAGATTGGAGTGTCTCAAAGGTGTTTGCTTGGTTGGGTTCATCAGTCGGAACCTTGACAACTTTCCAAGGTGGGAAAGAGAAGAATCTAGAAAAAGCATCATTTGACATTTGGTATCCGTAGCAGAACATCCAGATTCGGCCATAGTTTCATTCCATACAGCATTAACCTTGTGAACTCTCAAACTTCCTCCTTCCATTATATATTCAAGATGGACAGTATTTAATATTTATTTGCTACGTATATGTAGGGATGTGGGTCTATGCATATTTTGTTCATAGTATGTTTAGGTATGCGTCATGTATGTGTTTCACTTTGAGAGCGGGCAACTAAATTTCATTTTTGATGTGTGCCATTGTGCCCACAGTAAAAAAATGACAATAAAGGTTATCTTATCTTATCTCTACACCACCATTTCCTCTCAGAACATCACTTTGAACAATCCATGACTGAACTGAGGAGTGTTTTCGAAAAAAATTAAAATGTTCTTCATAGTCTGAAAACTGAAGAAAAGGGAGGCAGATGGGTGGCTAGTAGTTGTATGAGACCGATCTCAGGAGGCTTCGTCCTCAGACCTTAGCCAATACAGATGTTCTATAAATCTAAGAGAAAAGCAAGCAAGAGCAATGAAGCTACTGGAAACAACTGCATTTGAACAACAGGTTTATTGTAAGAAAATTAACATGACATTACATAAAATTGCAAAATTGTGCAATTATGGCAAAATGTTTAAAAATCCACACGTTTGCCCTCAGAGGACTACAGTACTGCTTTACTAACATACCTGAGCACTGAACATCTGATACCATTTCTAAACAGATTTGGGAGCTTTCTGATATTATACAAACCGCATATACTACATACAGAGGAGAACCGGCTTGGCAGGTTGGGAAACAACCAGCCGCACAGTCTCGCTCCATTTCCATGGGGCAAGTGCAAGATTGTGATAAATATGCAACAAATGTGCTTGGTGGATTTTGCCTTTAAAACAACAAATTGTGGAATTAGAAACTGAGAATGTTTTCCGTGTCTGTTTTAAAAAAGTATGTTAAAACGGAGGAATGATGCATCAGAAAAAATAAGCTAAATAAACAAAAAAAACAAACCAACAACAAAGAATATAAGTAGAAATATCAAATGCAACTCTGAACTGCTTAGCATAATTATGGGGACTTATGTCCATCTGGTCTCACACTGTGCAGGGTTCTTTCCGAATTAGATTACTCAAAAAACAAGTTTATACAGGAAAATTCCTATTAGATAATTTAAAGCATGTAAACAACTAAATTCCTCAGTTAATATTACTGCTTAAATAATTATTCATGCGTAAGACTCATGGTATTTCACCCCCCTGGTAAAAATTTCAAGATTTAACTCTCAAGCACTGTAGTCCACAGCCTCTCCCCTTTCCCCTCCCCCCCTCTGAATGGTTAGACAAAGATTTTTATTTAGTGCAGATAAAAGAACAAAAATTAAGAGCAAACCTACTGCAGAATTAACCACAGCATATTCTATTTCTATTCATCACATGACAACTTCATTTGCTAACAAGCTAAGTTCTTAAATTTCAACTCCGATTGACACTTCTAAATAAATAATACAGAAGATTGTCAACAAGCAGCAATGTGTTTTGTAAGGTTTTTGAAAATGACATAACACTTCTTTTTTTTTGAAAAAATAATGCAACATTAAGGGGAGGGTGCTTCAGAAAGTTTGCAGCTAAGAGGCTTACAACAGCACAAATATAGCCAAGTAAATAATAAAAACAATTAAATATATGAAAACTAACCGGCGTTATACAAATGTCAAAGAAACCATAACTTATTTAAAAATTCCGTCTTGGCAACTACACACTTAAGACATCAAAGCCTTAATTATTCATGTAGAAAAAAAACCTAAACTCACTTCTAAAGTAGCAGGTTAGTGCCCTACTATATTGAGCTGTAGGTTGAACACACTTAAGTCAACTTGGAAATTAATCCTATAACAATCCAAAGAGCATTTGCTACTCTTGAATCATTTTCCATTATTACTTTCCAATTATAAGGGTAAACTATACAGCCTTATAGTCCTGAATGGAAGCTATATAGATTCAACCATATAATATGTAGCACCAATTCCTATCTCTAGTTGGCGGCAAAAAAAACCAGGAGTCAAGATTAGGTACTGTAGAGACTATGTAGTTTTGCATTACTGGAGTTTCCTAACCTGAGCACTATTGAGGCAAGAATTAAAAATGAAGTTATCGCCTTTCATAACGCTAAGTAATGTACCAACTGCAACCATCTAGCATGTATTCCTTGTATCTTAATAATAATGCAAGAAACACACACACACACACACACACACACACACACAATATCTAGACTAATGTACCTCCAGCATGGTATATGAAAAAGCCCAAAGATAAAGCTGCCTGCTGAATCTCTGGAAAATGAGGTATGTAACAGAATGAGGCTTTATTGTCCATTTAGTTCACAGTCATGTTTTCTACATATAATATTGTGCAAGACTTAAAAGATACAAAATCAAGTGAAATAGTATTTATCTACCGGGGAGTGTGAACCATATTTATCGAGCTGTGGTTTTAAATTTGCTCTCTTAACTAAAGGTTGATTGATCTGACTCGATCAAAAGGAGTGACCCATCTTAGAGAAAGGACAATTTATCATTTAAAACAAGCCTTAAACTGAACCAAGATGAAAGTCAAGTATACTTCTTTCTTGAGGATCAAGGTTACTCTAAGAATTGCCCGTTAGCAAATGCATTCTCGATGCCTCAATATTACCTAGGGATGCAAAACAAAGAAAAGCAAACATTCTAAGTTATTTCAAATATGAAAGTAGAAATATAATATACAAAAGTTCTGGACTCTTATTTTTCAATGTTTTTATGGTAGATTCCCAAAAATAATTATTCTAGGACCACAAAGGAAGCTCAGTAGTGCAAACTTTCACATTACTCCAGAAACAAATGGAGCCAGATGTGCTTTGACACTGCTGAAGTGGAGGGTAGGGATATATTTTTGAGAAGACAACTCACCAACTTTATGCCAAGTTAGCAATAGTGGAAACAATAAGTACATTAGTTTGCTGTACTGTTACAAGAAGGCCCAATATTACATACTCCCAAGAGCTACCCTATACCAATGCATTCCAATACATTTATCTGGAAGTTTATGGTCAACTATGTAGAACTGTTTTAAGCTACACTGCCAAAATTACAGGAGAGTGGACAAAACAAAGTGTCTTTAGCGGTTAACTTTCAAAAATGGAACTATTTCCAAAAGGCCATTAAGACTATCTATATTTATATAGGAACCAGCAACATATATTTAAATAAAATAGGTGTCCACGCACAAAAGCAGCAAGTGTGTTTAAGACTCGAGACATTAATACTACCAACTTGCTTGCATAGCAGCTCAATTTGACCTATTTTGGACTTACAAGTATGAAAATTGTACTAGCACCATTGGGTTTGAGCCCTTTATGAAGTGACTAACATATTCAGCTGCTTTTGAACATCTACATTTAATTGGCAGAAATAGCTCTCCTAATACTAATGGAAGATTAAGGACCCCACTAAACTTAAAATTAAATCTACAGAAGAGAAGCAGTGTAGCCATTTGAAGAAGGGCAGCTCTCTCTCTCTCAAATGGGAACTTGTATTCTCTGGTGACTTTAAATCTATTTCTTTCAAGCTGCACGTCAGATTTTAGACAATTCTGAACACCCTGTATGTTTCAATGAAACCGTGAGGAGAAGGTGACATAATCTTTATGTGATACAAAATCCAAAATTTCTCTCTGCAGATTAGAATGCACACTATTTATGTGCAGTTGTTCAGATTCAGATTTTTTTTAAAAAAAAAAATAGCAAGCCAGAGGAAATCTGCAATGAAAAATGGGGGGGGGGTCCCAAAAGCAAGAATGCAAACACTTCTAGCTGACAAAAGAAAATATTTGCAAATCTGTTATTTCTGCCAAAGGAAATGTTACAATGCACTTGGTTAAAGAAAAACCCAAATCTCCCATATTCATAATAATCTTACTTTGAATCTGTAAACAACTGCACATAAATAGTAATTATACATTCAAATTTGCAGAAAGATCTTGTGAGTTTTGTACTATGTAGAGATTATGTCACCTTTTCTTCACTGAAATACATTATTTTCCTGAACTTTCACAACTTACCGGAGTGTAGAAACTTAAAATATTTCAGTACCATTTCAATAAATGGAAGAGGGCTGGGTAAATTTTTTTTATTTACTGTCACCAAATCGAAAATTGCAACCCATCAATATTGCCTCAGATTTTACCCGTATTTTAAACAAAAAAATCACTTCAAGCTTGATCTCTTCACCTTTCCTATTCCTATTCTCATTATAGTGCATAGTTACCCAATCCATCTACTCTTTCTTTTAGTCAAACTGTCATTCTAGAATATGATCAAATGAGAAAATGTTGATAATTGCACTTTGTAACCCATTCCATAATCTACAAGAAAACATCCACTAAAAACTTAAACTATTCCCTCTCCCCACTGCAACCTTTAAAGAGCACCCATTCCCACATGTATGTGTGTGTAATTATGGGTGTGTGTTCAGCTCACATTAAATACTGACGGGAATGATTTTTTCCTTAAAAACAGCTGTTTCTGATAGCAATGGAACACCAAAGTCACTAAGGCCTTTTACCAATGAAAGGGAGAGGGGAGAGGAGTCAAATAACTTTCTGAAGACACTGTGGATACAATTTAGCAACAACACATTCAAAATGACGTCCAAGATCCCAAAGCTTATCTGGAGTTTCATACACTTTCTGCCACTGGTCATTAGCTTCATCATACTGATAAAGAGAATTTTTCCTGCTGGTTCTGAAGATGTGTTCTTCAACTGTGACTTGAGTAGCTCGAACAAACAAATGAAGTTTATTTTTCAAGACAACAAGTTTAATATATGGATTAATGGACTGATCACATGGGAAATCTTTCTTTCTAGTCCACTTGTTCAATTCAATGTCATAAGCCTCTACAGTAAACATACGTTGATGGTTTCCACAGGTTCCAGCAATGTAGTAGATAGAGTTATTGTAGACAGCTGCCAAACCCTGGATCCTAGGCACAGTCATCGGAGTTAAGAAACCCCAATAATCTTTTCGAGGATCATAGCAGAGGAAGAATTCTCCTAAGGGACAGAAAGGAAGGGAAACTAAAATGTAAAGAACTTGCCTTAAGACACTATTAAGCAACCTCCAAAGCAATGGATTAAGACTTCTACTTTCCTCAAAGTAACTGACCCAACAATATTAAGAATAATTTCTAATGAACTATCAGATATTGGTGCATCATACAGAACATTAAGAGTTGTCCTAAAATATTTCTGCAAAACAGTATGCAATACCAGAAAATATTTACTTACTTACTTACTTATTAACTTTGTATACTATCAGAAGCCTCTGAACCAGGGGTCTTCAAACTTGGCCCTTTTATGACTTGTGGACCTCAGCTCCCAGAATTCCTCAGCCAGGCATGCTGGCTGAGGAATTCTGGGAGTTGAAGTCCGCAAGACATAAAAGGGCCAAGTTTGAAGACCCCTGCTCTAAACTTACAAGGTTGTAAACCACATCTGTAATTTTCAGAACATTATAGACATCCCTGAAATTGTGGGCAAAGCCAATTCTAATACATTCACTCACTAGAAGGTAAACTATTTTATTTTCTGAAGGGATGTGTGTGTGTTGTGTGTGTGTGTGTGTGTGTGTGTGCATGTGTGTAGGTAGCTTAACATCTCTTAAGAGGGTGTTCATACCTGGGCCATTGTCACTACGAAGGCCTTACTTTTGGCTACCAATTGTGAGCCAAACTCACCAGTGGGTCCACAAGTAGAGTCTCTCAGCTCATTTTTATACATGAGTTTGATGGTACAGAGGGAGACAATATTTTAATTAACTGAGTCCTACACAAAACTGGAATTGTAGCTTACAGGAAACCAGTGCAGTGCATTGGACCCTTCTTTAGCTATATCTGTTCTCTGTACCAGTTATAATGTTCTTTGTCATCTCTACATGACAAGTGCATTGCAATAATAACCAAGCATATAGTTATTAAGGCACGGACCACTAAGAATAGGCTATCTATGTTCAGGTAATATTGTAACTGATGTATTAGCTGAAACTAAGCATCAGCCCTTCTTGTTAGTAAGGTCTAATGACAAATTGGAATGAAAGGCAACCTGTATACCAATTCTTTCAGATTGCACTACCTCATACAGTACTGACCAACTTCCCATTTCTGGGTTTTAGGATTATTTGTACTTCCATTTTATCTATATTCAGCTGCAGTTTGTTATTCCTCATCATAACTACAGGCAACACTCAAGCACCAGTTCAACCCCTTCTGATCCATGTGGGAGGAAAAAGCCAGAGCTGTATGTCATCTCTCACAGTTATATGGATTAAAGAGGAGTTAAACAGCTGCTGTCTGGTAATAGTCCTACACATAGGAATGTTGACAAAGTACCTTCAATTTGAAACCCACTGAGCCACTTCAGTGATATGCCATAACCAGATGTTGAGCAATTCAAGAGAGTCAACATAGTAACATTTCCCATGTCTCTCTTCTAAAATCAGGGCAACCAAAGCTTTTGCTATGTTATTCAGGCCTGAAGATGACTTGAAATGGATCAGAGAAATGTAGCTGACTAGCCCTCCTTTTCAGCAACTTGCCCAGGAACAGAATATTTGCAACTGGATGGTTTGTTTACAGTAGTGGCCAAAATTGTGGAAACCTTTTGGGAAAAGTGTACAGTAGAAATGCCACCTTTGGTTATGTTTCCATCCATTTTTCTTCTAATTTCTTTATAACTGTAGCCTTGTTCACTTAATAATACTATTTTACATCGCTTTCTGGGCAACCAGTCAACTCTTTGCACCAGTTTAATTTTATTACATTTTACAAGCTCACTAAATGAAAGAACACACAAAAAAAACCCAACCAACTTGATAGCGATCACATAACACACTGACAAATGTCCTCCTCTCAGCTTCAATACATGACATCAATAACTGAATCCTACTGTGATCTGATTGGCTCATTGCCAAAACAAGATGACACCCGATTGGCTCTCTAAACACTCCTGCTCATTGGCTACAATCAGATGAAGGAAAGCTACCTGATATCAACCTAAGCAAGTTGTGCTTCCTTTTTCTGGTTATTTGGCTATAACCTTTCATGGAGTACAGTACAGATAATTAAACAAACTTTGTTGCGTTACATTCTTGATTAAATTATCTTTCCACTGATATATAATTTTATGGAAAAAGAAGTGGTGTTATTAGCCATCAAACCTCAAACATACACTTTTCCCAAAAGGTTTCCACAATTTTGGCCACTACTGTACACTCTCAAGGTTCAGGGACAGGCTCTTCAAGGCAGTTATGCAAACCTTAGGTTGAAAGGCAGTGATTCCTCCCTGGAGGCATGCAATCATACCTTTCCTCCTGGAACTTAGCAATCATATTGAATAAGGACACAGATAGTTAGCCTATCCCTATAAGTATCTGGCTGCAGTAAAGAAACTGGTGTTACAATCGCCTAGCAGATGTGGTCCCCAAAACTCCCAGGAACAGCAGGAATGGTGGCAACAAATTTAAAGCAGATACAGTCAAGTGCAAAAGAAAGTATATATCTTCTTTTGAGTTCTATCATTTTACCTATCAGGACATAGTAAAAATCATCTGGTCTTAAAAGTAGGAAAAGACAACCTCAGATGAACAACAACACATGACATATTGCACCATGTCATCATTTATTGCACAAAAAGAAAGCAAAAATGGAGAAGCCATGTGTGACAAACTAAGTGTGCCCTTACTGCTTCCATTGGTATGAAAGGCTAAGTAGCAGCCAGGTGCTACTATCAAGTGCCCTTGATAATTTGATCATCAGCAAGTGAGAGTACGAAGTTTTATACTTCCTATATAAAAGCCGAAGTTTTAGGCATTTCTAGCATTGTGGTGCCTGTTATTTATTTATTTATTTATTTATGAGACTTATATACCGCTTTAAGTGCAAGCACTCTCTAAGCGGTGTACACCAGTAAGCAATGTGTATATATATATATATATATATATATGTATATGTATATATATATATATTTACATTGCCCCCAACAATCTGGGTCCTCATTTTACCTACCCCGGAAGGATGGAAGGCTGAGTCAACCTTGAGCCGGTGAGATTTGAACCGCTGACCTGCTGAACACAGTCAGCTAAAGTGGCCTGCAGTACTGCACTCTTAACTGCTGCGCCACCTCGGCTCTTGGCATTAACACAATGCCAAAGAAGAAAGACATCAGCAATGATCTTAGAAAAGCAACTGTTGCTGCCCATCAATCTGGGAAGGGTGATAAGGCCATTTCCAAACCATTTAAAGTCCATCGTTCTACAGTGGAAAACATTCAAGATAGCTGCCAATTTTCCCAGGAGTGGACATCCCAGAAAATTCACCCCAAGGTAGACCGTGCAATGCTCAGAGAAATTGCAAAAAAAATAAAAAAAAAATATGCAAGATTTACATCTCAGATTCTATAGGCCTCAGCATATTAAATGTTGATGTTCATGACAGTGTAATTAGAAAAAGACTGAACAAGTAGGGCTTGTTTGGAAGAGTTGTCAGGAGAAAACCTCTTCTCTCTAAAAAAAATATGGCAGCACAGCATAGATTTGCAAAAATTGTATCTGAACACATCACAAGACTTCTGGAACACTCTCCTTTGTACAGACAAGACCAAAGGAAATGTCTGGTTATAATGCAGAGTGCCACATTTGGCAAAAACCCAAACACGGCATAGCACAAACGTCTCATACTAATCATCAAGCACGGTGGTGGAGGGGCGGTAATTTGGGCTCGTTTTGCAGACACAGAACCTGGGCATCTTGCAATCATTGAGTCGACCATGAACTCCTCTGTATATCAAAGTATTCCAGAGTCAAATGTGAGATCATCTGTCTGACAGCTAAAGCTGGGCAGACATTGGCTCCTGCAACAGGACAATGATCCCAAGCACACCAGCAAATCTACAATAGAATGGCTGAACAAGAAAAGAACGAAGGGGTTGCAATGGCCCAGTCAAAGTCCAGACCTCAACTGGATTGAAATGCTGTGGCGGGACCATAAGAGAGTTATGTGGGCATAAACAAATGCCCACAAATCTCAATGAACTGAAACAATGTTGTAAAGAAGAGCCAAAATTCCTGTACAGTGATGTGAGAGACTGATAAAGTTATATAGAAAAAGATTACAGGTTATTGCTGCCAAAGATTCTATAGCAGTGTTTCTCAATCTTGACAATTTTAAGGCATGTGGACTTCAACTCCCAGAATTCCACAGCCAGCAACGCTGGCTGTGGAATTCTGGGAGTTGAAGTCCACATGCCTTAAAATTGTCAAGGTTGAGAAACACTGTTCTACAGGCTATTGAATCATAAGGTGTACTTAGTTTTTCACACATGGCTTCTCTGTTTTTGCTTTCTTTTTGTAAATAAAAAAAATGACATGGTGTAATATGCCATGTACTGTTGTTCATTTGAAGTTGTACTTAACGTATTTTTCAAAACTGCTAAGGACCAGGTGATTTTTACTATGTCCCGATACTCAAAACCATATAACTCAAAGAGGGTATACTTTCTTTTTCATATAATTGTGTGTTCAGTTCTTTTCTCTAAATGCTTGACAAATCTATCACAATTGGCTACCGCATGGTCAATCAAACCTTTCTAAGGACAAAATTTGTGTAGCCTGGTCATAAAATGAGAAATGGGGGCGATGGGAATGCAATGAGGATAGAGAAGCAAGACTTCTTCCCCACTATAGGGGAACGCTGACCTGAATTCTATTGCATTCGCTATAAGAGCCGTGCTTTAACACTCAAAATTGGTCAGTAAAATGAGGAGAAAGAGTAGCAGCAGTTTCACAAAATTTGGTTTATAAATCATCTACATATTGTTCATTAAAATGTTAGCAAATAGCAATAGGGCTTAAGACTTAATACACTGCTTCATAACGCTTTACAACTCTCGGAGTGGTTTACAAGGTCAGCATATTTCCCCCAACGATCTGGGTCCTCATTTTACTGACCTTGGAAGGACGGAAGGCCGAGTCAACCTTGAGTCGATCAGAACTGAACTCCTGCAATACTGCATTCTAGCCACTGCGCTGCCACAGCTCATCAAAATAAATATTATATCCATAAACCTTTAAAATTCCAATCCCACTGGAAACATCCACCAGTTTTATTAAAAACAAGTAGCTCCCCACTGAAAATATAAGGTAATGAGGAGCAGAGTCCTTACATAATCCTGTCTTTAGATCCTTCTAAAATTTAGTTTTAAAATTAGTGTAAGCTGTATATTTAAAAACCACTCTAAGATACCTTGTATAACATCAATGCATTTCACATCTGTATCAAGTCATATTTTTTATAAAAGTAAGTAAGATACTTATGCACATTCACAGGAATCTTCAATTTTATTGTATTCTATATTTATCTTACATCACATTAAATCTCTTATAACCTGTTCTATTTAATTAAACATAATAAATATTCACTTCTCTAGGGAGAATATATTGGTTCCAAACATGCAACTGCTAAATTCAGAACCCATATTATTCAGCAGACCCTAGCTTTAAGTCTATCATTGTTGTACTTCTACAGAAAAGTTGGCACATGTACCCAAGCCTACTATCACCTATTCAACACATCTGGAGGTTAATAATTTGGGGAGGATGAATCAGGATGAAGCATTCACTGGAAACCTTTCCATTTATTGTGCAAACAGCATTAAAAAATTTGGTACAAACAACAGAGAACAAAATAATAGTTCAGCTGTAAAAATAAACTTTTATCTCCTTTGGTTTACTGACTTCATGAAAGCTGAGTACTGATGTTATCACAAAAACTGCAATTTTTATATTGTGTCTTTTAAGATACAAATCAAGTAGTTTAAATCAATATTTTAGAATGTTTCCCACACCTTAATTAATGGTAATGACCGTGTGAGTAGAAAAGGAGTCCAGTAGAAGCAGGCTTCTAAGTTGTCTTTAGATTCAAATGTTCATGTGAAAATGTTTGCAAACCAAATATGTAAGCTTTCAAGCACATTTTTTTTAAATAAAAACAAATTGAAGACTGTTTGACAAGCTCAACTAGGAATATGGTACGAGGACGAGGACATTTATCTCCCATCTTCACTAAAGTTCTATTGGGATTCAGTCCTGACTGCTATTCACAATTGAAGGAAATATTAACTGGTGCCAAATAGGAGCTTTCTTTCAATGCAAATAGATCTATGTATATGTAGGTATGTGGTGAATGGGATTAATATTCTTTGTATCAGAATCCTGAAATTGTGTGAGCTTCTTTCTCACCCCCCCCCTCTTTTTATTGCCAATGACTAAGTATATCTGACCTTCAATAATCCAAACCGTGGACTATTGGCCCAAACTGTACTGGTTGGGGAATTCTGAAAATTGCCTAAAAGACCTCTTAAAGTGGCTAAGGTTGAGAAACACTGGTCCAAACATTAGGAAATTTGGAAAGAAAAAAATAGGGTGAATGATGGAATAGCACTTTCTAAAGTAGTACTTAAAGTAATTTAAAGTAATACCTTTAAATAGCATTCAATTATACTTCTGTCAGTGGCTGTCCCTATCAACTACAGAGTGTAAATAATTCCTCAAAACATCTCAACAGCATGCAAAAATATTATCACGTACAAGTGATATGCACTATAGCAGGGGTGTCAAACTCAATTTCATTGAGAGCCGCATCAGCATTATGGTTACCCTCGGGGGGGCGGGGTGTGTGTGGCCAGGATGGGTGCGGCCTACTGGGTGGGTGTGAATGGAGTGGGTATGGCCTACTGGGTGGCCATGGCCAGCTCTACATCGTTCACGTCAAGGGGGCCTGTGGGGGTCTGGGCAGGAGTAGGACAGATCTGAGAGTCTCTGGCAGAAGGGGGTGGGACCGGGGCAAGCGCCAAGGTGTGGTCCATTTCTTCATTCCTCACAAAGGGTGACACCTCCCCAGCATGCACCCAGGGGGTGGGGCCGAAGCGGCAGGGACTAGTTCCTCGGTGTTTCCAGACAGCCTTGTGGAGCTAAGACTGAATGTGTTTCAGCATAGATGGCCACCGTGAAATTGTACATTGGCTCCCAGCCGGCCTGGGCCAGGGCCAAGGCAGTGGGGGCCGTTCCCTCACTGTTTCCAGGATAGCTTTGCGGGCCACTTGAAACCACTTCGCAGGCCACATCCGGCCTTGTGTTTGACATTTCTGCACTACAGCATAATTTAGCTCTGCCTATACTATAGGATATGAATAGGATCATCCATCCTCTATGGTACAATTAGCAAGGAAACTACCAGCAACAAATTACTCTCTTCTTCCAATACTTCAATTGTCAGTGCTAACTTCAAAACTCACCATATCCCCACACAAAGCATCTTACCCTGTAAAACATAGATACTGTCTTTATATTCCACAGCATTATGAAACTCCATTGCTACAGGCATCGGACAAACAGCTGTCCAGCAGTTCTCTCGGCCATCATAACATTCCACAGATTTCAGGGAGTTGCGCCCATCTCCTTCATAAACTCGACCGCCTATTGCGTACAGTTTACCACAGCAATGAACCAGTTTGCAACCTATCCGGGCACGAAGCAGCGGAGCTTTAGGGATCCATTTATTGCCGGAGTGATCGTACATCCAAAAATCACTTTCTGCTCGGTGATCTATGGAAACCTCACTGCTGCTCGGTCTGTATCCTCCAGCAATATAAATGTCATTGTCAGGTGAGACAAGAATCCCAACTTCTCTTAAATCATTAGGCGGTTTGCATAGTTTGAAAACTCTCCCTGTAATGGAGTCTAAACAAGGCACTGTTTGTTTCTTTCCTGAGTGTTTGTGGGCAGCATCAAAGCAGATGATCATTTCTGAAGCAGTCATTCCAAGCCTCTGGGTATAGCCGTTGGCACCGTTTTGTCCTTTCTCTACACAGTTTTGGGCTATAGCCTGTGCAAACATGGGAGGGATTTTCTCTATGAACGCTTCATCCAGTAGGGGCAAACGAATGCATTTGGCAAAAATTTCTGGCAGATGGTCCTCTCTTTTACTAGGCTCATGCTCAAACCATCTTATAATGCTTTCGTAGACATGCTCTTCTTTATCAACATTTAAGTCGTTGCTGTCCAGTATGCTTACAAGTTGGTCTTTCCTCAAGTGGAGAAACTCTTGTTCTTTGGTGACACTCAGGAATTTTTTACGAATGTAATCTTGCGATCTGATTTTCAATTCCTGATGTCCGTAGTGATCAGCAAAAATAAACACCCCAATGGAGTTCTGTGGGTCCAAGTGACTGATCATGTATTTAGCACACTGATCCTGAATGGAAGGGATCTGGAAGATACTAGCTGCAGTGAACAAAGCTTGGACATTGGCCTCTGTCAATGTTATTTTGGAGGTATATGCATAGTTCAGTACTAAATGCATGGATTCTGCTTCAACACCAACAATCCGAACCTCTTTCTGGGTACTCTCAGTAAGGCCACTAGTGAACATAGATCTATAAAATGAGGATATGCACACAATTAATAAAAACTACAATTAACACATCAACCATCATTTCAACTTTGCTATTAATACTCAGACTTATTTTTCTTTGCCAAACACATTAAAATTTAAATCAGTCAGCAGAATCCTGACTTTGTTAAGATCTAACCATTAGATTTTTATTACCTTTATATTAGTTGAGAGTTACAGAACATTTGCTTATATGCATGCTACTGCTAGAAATAAGGATTGGAACATGGATAATCAAAATGCCTAAGAGAGAACTGCCTACATGTCTGAATTGTCTTTGTACCTGTTGCCAACAATCCAGATTAAAATGTTTGCCGCTCCTGCAGCAATAAATTCAGTGTTTTCTTACATTTTGGATACAATGGAAACAAAATTTCAGAATAGTTACATCGACTGAAGAGTCGTTATTAGCAACTGGTTTATCTATACCACAAAGCACAGATTTAGTTTAGTGAAAGTTCTACAGAATACTCAAAACAAGAAAGTAACTTTTTTAACCCTGAAGAATTAAGCCACAACCCTAGAAAGATTTACCAACATAAGTCCCACTGAACTCTAAAAAGGCTTCTAATGAGATATGCATAGGATTATAATACAGGTATTGAAGTAAACAAACATCATAGTTCAGGGGTGTCAAACTTGCAACATCACGTGACATGTTGCGACGTGTCATGACTTTTTTGCCATTGCCAGTAATGGGGTGGGCGTGGTTTTGCTATGATGTATCCGGCCCATGGTTTGACAGCCGTCATAGTTTTTACAGGTTGGGAGATGTTTTGATATATAGTACGGAATAATTTATATTATTTAAAAGCAACTATTCAACTATTTTTTCTTTCTTGAAGTGACTCCAAAATAGGCAGTGTTGGGTTTTGGGGTTTAGTAACCGTGGTCTGACAACAGATTTCCTGATATTTTTCTGGTTACTGTGGCGGGCATCTTCAGAAGAAATTGGCTGCCACTAAACCCTGCAGCCCAACATTGCCCAATAAATACAAGTGTGAAAGCCTATTCTAGTATAGACTTCCTATTGCTGTGAACTCAGAAATATGTGGGATTAAATTATGGAAACATATTACATCTACATTAATATTCCTTGTAAAAATATGCTTTTGCGGGAGGTGCTATCATGGATGATTCAGATTTTTTTAAATCCCCATTATTTAACAGAACAACAGAGTTAGATGGGACCTTGGAGGTCCTATACCATTTCAGACAAATGGCTGTCCAGTTTCTTCTTAAAAACCTCCAGTGTTGGAGCACCCACAATTTTGGTAGCAAGTTGATCCACTATTTAATTGTTCTTGCTGTCAGGAAATTTCTCCTTAGTTCTAGGTTGGTTATCTGCTTGACTAGTTTTCATTCATTGCTTCTTGTTCTCCCTTCAGGTACTTTGGTAAGATAAACTATCTTGCTTTAGAAGAATTTTTTTGGGGCATCAACCCAAAAGGGCATCCATTCACAAGAAAATTACCCAGGCATTTGACACACCAATATGTGCTGTGGCATTACTTGTGGCAACTGTTTCGATTGTTTTATGGATTTTATTATTCTTACGCTATGTTTAATGCATATCTGCAGTTAGTATAGAAATGTAATAAAGGAAAATATTTGTAGCTCAGAGTTGATATGAGGAGTCCTTGCTGCTCCCTGGGCTTGCTTGTTTTCTTGCAGACGTTTCATTACCCAAACTAGGTAACATTATCAGACTGATGATGTTACCTAGTCTGGGGAATGAAGCGTCTGCAAGAAAACAAGACCAGGGAGCAGCAAGGACTTCTCAGAAATGGAACTCTTCATCTCTCCCCTTATGGAGAGAACAGTAATTCGGATAAGAATTTATGTTACTAAGTTATGTGGTCATAAAGCATGATATCACATAACTGTATCATGTAGTGAAGGCAATCCCAAAACTACCTACTGCTGTCACTAACCAAATTCCTGAAGACCCATCCCATACAAGCCATTCCAGTCTTGGTCCCGCTCAACCCCTGCCTCGGTTCTTCCAAGGTAAGGGACTGCTTCCTCTTCCTCCCCCCCCCCCAACAACAATTATTCCCTCCCCTCCCCCTCAAAGCTCCAGTGCTGCTTATTATGCTGTGGCTCAGGGACATGCCCCTTCTGCTAGCACAGGTGGTGTAGACCAATTCTATTAAAGGGAGCCAGTTCCATATATTTATATCTCCAAATATATTTATAGATGTCCAACAATTCTTTTAGAACAGAAGCTTGCATTTGCACCTTCCCAGCTCCAAATGCCTGCCAGCATGAGCTCTGCTTTGGCTTACCCCTTTCTTTTCTCTTTCGCAAAGGAGGCATAATTCACATTAGCTTTTGCTATTCCTGGCCATTTCCAGAGAAGATGCCTGCAAGTGCCAAAGTAATGGTGATGCCAAAGGCATAACTAGAAGTCCCACAGATCTGATTACTGTACTGGATCAGATCTAAAGAAAAGACACTTTCAACTCAATAACCAACTATATGGCAAGAGGTTCACATTAATCTCAAAAACTGTTTCCTGTGACTGCATTAGGAAACATAAGCTCATTAGATGCTTATTCTTTGCTTGTCTATTCTGTTATATTTGAGTTTTAAACAATCAATTGTAATTTCTAATAACTTTCTAAGCTGGGAAAGGGGAATAGTGATTTGCAAAATTATGCAAAATTCTGTCATGTTATAAAACACGTGACAAGCACATTTAAAATACATGTGATCCAACTTCTGCAAGTTGTCACAAATTTTAGAAATATCCAAGATGCCTTGCAAATAAGTTTGGAAAAAATAATTATAGACCCTGAAAATTCAGAAGTCAAGGAATGAAGCAGTTAATAATAGCCAAACTACTCTAACAGCTTTAATTCCTACATTAATGTTGTAAATAAAAGAATGCTAGTATATGCTAGATCAGATTATTTAAATGAATTAATCTGTTGCCCATTCTCTCTCTCACAAACACACATATGCATACCAGAACAAAAATACTTCACGTACAATACACATAATACACTAAAAATAAAATATTATATACCTAAAGTAAGGACTGATTGCAGCAAGGACATTTCGATGACAGGAAAATGTTTTCCCATGATCCACTTCTACCACAATATCTGTCAGTTGTCCTTCATCGTACATCATTTTGAGCTGTTGGAGAATGCTACAAGCATGAGAGGGATCCATCCCACCAATGGCTATGCTTGAAGAAGGAGTTCCATACAATGTTTGGGTAAATTTGCTTTGTTCTGGTGAAAAATTGAAATAAATGAACTTGAGAAAGAATGGCACATATTATGATCGATTCCCATGGTTCAAGACGTGAATCTTATTTCATTAGATGTGAATGCTGGAAAATATTCTGTATACCGACAAAAGTAGAAATATCTTCCTAAACTTTGCCAAATAACACCTCACACCCTAAGTATTTGTTTAAAAAAAATTCTCTGCACAATTCAAATTTCTGAATTTTGCAAAAAAAAAACAACAACCCCAAGCCCCAAACCCTCAGTACAATGCTAGCATATCTTTCTACATGGAAAATCTTATTTTTATCATTCTGTAAACAATAAAAAACAAGAAATATTATATTTGAGGACAGTTACATTATTTTAATATCCAATTATTTTAGATTATATTTTTCTATACTTTTTATTCTCTTGCTCTTATGTATTGTTTTGACTTGCAACTCTTTCCCATAACAGGGTAAGACCAACTGAATGGGGAGGGACCTTGAAGGTCTTCTAGTCCAAACCCCTACTCAAACAGGAAACCTTATACCAGTTCAGACAAATGGTATCCAATCCCTTCGTAAAAACCTCCAGTGTTGGAACATCTACAACCTCTGGAGACAAGTTGTTCTGCTGATTAAATGTTCTGTCAGGAAATTTTCCTTAGTTCTGGATTGGTTGTCTCCTTGATTAGTTTCCATCCATTGTTCTTGTCTTGAGCTCAGGTGCTTTGGAAAATAGGTTGACTTTCTCTTCTTTGTGGCAAATCCTTAGATATTGGAGCACTGCTATCATATCACCCTTAGTCCTTCTTTTCATTAAATACACATATCCAATTCTAGCAACAGTTATGTTTTAGCCTCCAGTCCCTAATCATCTTTGTTGATGCTAAGAGTCTCAACGTCTTTTTTTATATTGTGGCAACCAAAACTGAATGCAATATTCCAAGTGTGGTCTTATCAAGATGTTATCAAGTGATAATACTTCATATGATCTTGATTGTATCCCTCTGTTAATGCAGCCTAGGACTGCGCTGGATTATTTGGCAGCTACAGCACACTGCTGGCTCATATTTAAGTGATTATCCACCTAGCAATTTGAAAGCATGCAAATGCAAGTAGATTAACTGGTACCATTTCGCTGGGAAGGTAACAGTGTTCCATGTGCCTTTGGCATATAGCCATGCTGACCACATGACCACAGAAAAGGGTGGACAACGCTGGCTTCCTTGGCCAAGAAATGGAGATGAGCTCCACGAAATGGACACAACTAGACAGGGAAACGTTTACCTTTAACATTTTACCAGTAGGACTCCAAGATCCCTCTCAGTTACTACTGGTGATCCAGGTATTGCTTATTCTGTACCCAGGCATTTGCAGTTTTTTGCCTAAACGTAGAACCTTACTTTTCTCACCATTGAATTTTATTTTGTTAGATAAGGCCCAGTGTTCAAGTCTGTCAAGATTCGTCTGTATCTTGAGTTTATCTTCTGGAGCGTTGGCTATTTCTGCCAGCTTGATGAATTCCTCTTCTATCTGCTTGTCTAAATCATTTATGAAGATATTGAAGAGTACTGGGCCCAAGACAAAATTTTGAGGTGCCCCCTGCATGCTTCCCTGCATATAGATGCAGTTTTATTAATGACTGCATCTTAAGTTCAGATGGTCAGGCAATTATGAATCCATCTGATGATGCTGTCTAACCCACATTTTTCTATCTTATCAAGTATACGTTGTGGTCTACTTTACAAATGCCTTACTGAAGGCCAAGTAAATCTTATCCACAGCATTTTGCTGGTCCAATAATTTTGTCACATTGTCAAAGAATGCAATAAGTTCACCTATTTTATCAGACAAGTATCTTATTGATGCTACAACTTTTAGACTTGAAGCAGTAGAATGCATATGAGAAAACTAGTAAAAAATGAGGTATAATAGTAAATGTCAAAATCTTTTCTTGATAAAATATCAATCTGTTTCAACTTTAGACTTCAGCTTTGAGATCTGGGTATGTCTTTAAAGCAACTATTTCTGTAATTATACAGGAGTGTATGTGGGAGGAATGTTTCATTTTCTTCTGCCTCCATAGAAGAGCGATAACGTATTGTTTGTTTGGTTAATTCTGGCTGATAAGAGCTACCAGAGGAAGTCTTAACTAATTGGATCAGCAACTCCCAACCCTTTCTATAAACACTTCTGATATATTCTCACACCCCTTACAAAAGTTCTGAAATAATGGCAACAAATTATGCATATACATTATAATCTACCAAGATTTATTACTATAAACCTATTAATAGGTCCAGTGTTTCTATATTTACAGTACTTTGTTTTAATCAACATGCCATATGAATCCTCAGTAATCAAAGTATTAATTTTCAGTAGAGTCAAGACTAATTGGAAGAGGAAGTAGCATACTGATGTTGGGAGATAAATAAATAAATTTCCTTTTGACTTAATGTAAAATGAAGCACATTCAAAAAGTACCTAGAAACTAGAATTTGATAAGGAACTCATCATACTGCAGATTTATTGGATGGCTTAGCTTTATTGAAATTATTTCAGGGTACTGTGATCTTTCTCTATTTGCTCATCTATTACTCAGTATAAAAGGATTTCCAAGTGACTTTTTAAAACCAACAATATACTTCAGCTCCACATTACAATAACTTGAGACAATTAAAAACAAAGAAAATGATGATTCTCATGGGTAACTCATAAGTATTAGGGGCTAACAATTATCTAATCTATATTTGTTTATAATAAATTTTACATACTACTATTTCCTGAGACACAAAGCATTCTTAGGAAAGAGGTGGTTAAATAATAAACAAAATAACATAGAAAGTATAAAATATATAACAGATAAATAAAATGAAAATGCAAATAAAAATGCAAAACTAATGAACAGTAATCATATGATTAGCAGCCAAATATTTTGTGAAGTAATAAGTTGTTAATTGCCCTCCTAAAGGCCAAGAGGACAGTGACGCTCTATACTCCAAAATACAATGTGTTTCAGAGTTTGGAGGCAACTATAGAAAAAATTCATCACTAAAACCCCGACTCCTTAATGGCACCCTCAAAATGTCCTTATATATTGATTTACTGATATTTTCTGTCTTGCTCAATAGAAACTCTTGGTGGAAATTGCAGGCTAATTAGATGGCCACTTGGTCTAATTCTGCAGGATTCTCTTTATTTTCTATACTTCAATTTTAAATGTTTTTTTTTCCAAATAAATATTTCCATCCAAATTTTCTTTATCAATGCTTGTGAAAATATTGAAGTGGTAATCACAAAGGTACTTTTTTAGGAGGCAACTGGACTTTCTTGTTTTTCTTTGAAGACATTTTGCTTCTCGTTCAAGAAGGTTCTTCAGCCCTGACTGGATGGTGGGGAATAGATGGATTTATATCCTTCCATTCCCCACCATCTAGTCAGAGCTGAAGAAGATTCTTGGATGAGAAGCAAAATGTCTTCAAAAGAAAAAACAAGGAAGTCCATTTGTCTCCTGAAAAAGCACCTTTGGGACAACCATGACCATTGATACATTCAGCTTTTGGGGATCAATTATCAAGAGTAAAAGAACCAGTACTTCAGAAATATGCTACAAAGTACAAATATTTTAAAAGTAGCAATGAAGACCTTGTAAAAGTCATGGCTACACCTACAAAAATCAAAAACGTGCAATGATTTTTTTCTGTGACACTTTATAGACATGAAAGTTGGAGGAAGTGGAATAAAAAGAGTGTTGAAGACTCCCAAGAATGGATGGCTGTCCTCTCCCCCTAAATTCAAACAAATAGATCACAGAACAAAATTAATCCAGAGTTCTCTCTTGAGACACAAATGACCAGCTCAAACCACCTTATTTGGGACACTTCATGTAAAGGCCTAGCTTTCCTGAAAAGTCTATATCTGAGAAAAGGGGATTATATATATATATATAATCATCGACAAGGTGGATGGACTTAGTTATAGTGATGATGGGTGCACTGTGGCAGACTTGGAGGGTCAGATTTGGAACAGATTATCCTGGAGAAAGCCAGTGTCTGTAATTGCTAAAAGTCAACATCAACCTGACTGTACATAACGTATGAACTACAGATCATACATTTTCTATATTCTTTGACAATGTGCTCTTAAACCCTAAAGGGCATCTCACAAGTGGCTGATACATAAGATACGAAGGAGAGCCTATTCTGTTTGCACCGAACACAACAGGATTGCTGAAAGTCACCCAGTGAGAACTTACAAAATACCAAGATGTTGCATTTGACAATGATTATCATTCCTTTATTGAAGATGGATAGAGAAATTCACTTATGTCAGAAGAAGGACTTAAAACGACTGTCTTCCGTCCCATCTTTAAAACCAAGTCATTGTGCTCTCGGGGCTCCAAAAAATGCTCAAATCTACATATCCAATTGGATCCACATATTCAGTTTTCTAAAATAAGAATAGGGCTGTACTCCTCCTAAAAGAAGGAAGCTATCATTCTGGGTGTGCTGTTGATCCTCATCTATCCTCATCTATTAGTCAACTTGCAGGAGTAGTTTTAACAAGAATCGTGTATGATGTGAACTGGTAAAATACGGTAAGCATTATTCATGCAGTGTGCTCTATAAAGGCATATCCCAGGAAAATGTTCCAAACAATGCAGCAACTAGGCTTCAACATGTAAGGGATCATATACCTATATGGAAAGAACTGTACAGGGTATCAAATATTTCTTGGCGTCATTTAAAACAATTGGCATTAACTTTTAAGGCCTTATGTGAGTCAAGAGGGCTTTATCTTGCATTACTCAGAGAACATGGAATGCTTTCATTTGGGAGAATTTAGAATATATTTTTGCCAACTGATAAATGGTTAATTTTAGTGTGAATTTTATGACTTTGGTTTTTTATTTATTCGTTAGCCTTGAATATGCAACATAGATGATAAAATAATAACAAAATAATATATCGACCCTTAGCACATCACCAGAAAGAACACCAAGCTTAGACATATTTCAGAACTTCTGGCAAAATGGTAATCAAGCAGTATTTCAATATAAAACCTGTTTTGGTGGTAAAGAAATTAAAGAAGCCAGTATTCCAAGAGAAGACAGATGATGTGCTTGAGTATTTTACAAATCAGGTTCTGCTGCTTTTTAATTTAGAACATATATTCTGGTAATAATATACATAAAGGCAAGACACTCTCAGGTGAAGCTCAACTCCTGGTGACTGTAATTTTTGTGGCAATTTTATGTTATGGAGATTTCAGTAAGAAAGTCCTTCAGTAAGAAATTTTTTTTAATGAAAAAACAAGAAGAAGAAAAATCAAAAGAGAAAGTCCAGTATTGACCTACTTGTTGCAACAAGAAAGGCTAGAATGGCTTTTTAGTGGGAGTATTTTATATTTTGCCAGTTTGCCTTTTGGAACTGCATAGAATACCTAAGAAACGTGCAAAATATTAAGCTTTTCATACTTTGATGTCTCATTTTTGGCATTCTATAGATTTCCTGGGCATTCTATCAAATGTATAATTTTACACACTGATGGTGATACACAGGGAAGTCTGGGATTAAGAGGCCAGGATGGAGTTACCGAATGTGGGGTAGAAGAGAAGGCACAATGCCACCAATCTCCACTCTTTTTTATTCCCCCATGTGTCTTCAGAACAAAATCCAACTTCTCTCTTAACTCCCCTACCATTTGTAAATTGTAAGATAAAAAGAGTGTAGGGATCACCTGGATCTCTCATTAACTTCCTGGTTTCAAACATGATCTAATCCTCTTGAAACTCCCATCAGAGAACATGGCTTCTAAATTATATTTAACTTTGTATCTCTGAGGACATGCCATTCCAAAATAAAGGGCTTCTTTTTTAAAATTACTGTATTTTCATCTAGGAAGAGGAATCTGTGGCTTGCCCTGTTACTGAACTACAACTTCTGGCAACGTTCACCACCAGCCATGTTGGCAACGCCTTCTCCCAGCTGCAGTTTTTGTCCTCTACCCAAATTTAACAAATTTGGTGCTAATTGGAATAAAAAAAGGAAGGCACCCTCCTTCTTGAGCGCCTACCCCGGACCAAGTGCTAGGCAAAACAGACTCCCAGCAGACTTCCTCGGAGATAGGGTTTCTAGTCCTCATTGGAGAGTCGCTGGCAATGAAAGTCTGCAAGAAAGGCCGGGTTACTTTTGAAGGAACCTCTGATCTGTAGCATTTCTTTCTCTGGATGACAGCAGCGGTTACGCTCACTTAAAACGCCCCCACCCACCCACTTACGGAAGTATTATGATAAAAGCCAACGGCGACCACCTTTCATGCCTCTATATAGAGGAGGGGGGGAATAAGTTTTTTTTGGGGGGGGTTAAGTATCATTAACATGAGCTTGAAAGACAAGAGCAAATCACCGGATCTCCCTCACTCTAGCCACCTCTCCCCAGCTTTGGGACACCCCACATAGAGTGTCTCTCAGGTTCCCACAAGAGGCATATCCGCCCGGCTCTCTTCCTCCTCCTCCTCCCGAGGCCCCATCCGGCAAGGCCTCGAAAGCCCCTCACCGCCCCCTTCCCCAACCGCCTGGAGGCTCCAGACCGCCGTGCCCACCTCCTGTGGCAGCCATACTGCAGGGAGGGGAAGGCGGGCCTCAGAGAGTCTGCCGCTACCGGAGGAGACCGCCGCGGCTCCCGCCTTTCCACCTCCGTCGGCCGCAGAAAACGCTGCCGCCGCGTCGCCGCCGCCACTGAGCCTTTCTGTCGGCTCGCCGAAGAACGCCCCGCAGCGCCACCGAGCCGGGATTGGCGAGCGGCTAGTGCGACGTTTGCTGGGAATTGTAGTTTTTCCTTTAGCCCCGCCCTCTCCCCTCCGAGGTCCAGATGTCAACGTCCCGCGAATTGCACACTGGGTATTGTGGTCCTTTCAAGGCAAGCTTCTGTCCGTCAATGAATGCTCTGTTTCGCGTGGCTGTGATTTCGCTCTTCTGCTGAAATCTTCATATAGGACAGTGCTTGGGGGGGAGGGGGAGTGGGAGAGACATGTCTGCCTCAAGAGGAAAGGGAAGAGGATGAAATCTGGGATGTGCTGTATCTCTTCTTTGTCTCTGGCTGTGCTAGCTGCATCATGAGAAGCACCAGGTTGTCTTCCACAAATAAGGGAAGGTGGGTGGAGTGGGTGAGGGGGGCTCACCCGGAATGTACATGGACCGGACCCAGAGGTTTGAAGAGGTTTTTTGGAGACCGGGGATTGGGTGGGCTAGCCAATGTTGCACTGTGCCCTCCATGGTATTCAGATTTAGGTAATGGGTTATTGCTGGGTGGCAGCCAAGTGTCCAGTAGACGGTGTGTGGGGGGGAGTCTCCATAAATTGACAATTTTAAGAATCATGGACTTCAGCTTCTAGAACTCCTTAACCAGTCATGCTGGATTGGGGAATGCTGGGAGCTGAAGTCCACAACTCTTAAAGTTGTCAAGGTTGGAGCCCCTGCACTAGACCATTCATTGGCCGTTCATTGACACAAATGGGTATCTCATAAATACTTAGCTAAACATAAAACCATAGAGGAGTCTCCAAGGAACTTCTTTAGCTTTCCCCAGTCAGATATCTTGAAGTTCAGCTACCACAATTTCAACTCAGCCCACTCAGCAGGAGTTGAAATCTTACACATTTGAAGGGCGTAAGTTGGGAAACCTCTTTTAATCTATCTGATGACTCTTTATATATCTGTGAAGAGCAATGATTAAACCAATACATACCAGTCCTACTTCTTATAATAGAAATCCAATCAGTATATTCAAAACAGAAATCATAGCATATGTCACTCAATAAAAAGATGTGACCATTATGCATTAGGACAATGTAAAGCCTTGAAGAGATGCTTCAGTTTTGACAAAGATGTCTTTGAATGACTGCATCAAAAAGATTCATGGATCAAAGTTCAATAGACTAGTGAATTGAATCAGATGACTGCAAAGCCTCTTACAACTTCAATAAATAATTTGATTCTGGGATTATAAAAACAGCATACAGCATTGCAACTTTACTTCTTTATTTGAGGAATGCTGGAGTTGAGTAATCAGATACAGATATGAGTTGCCAGCTAATGAATTTTATTTTCCAAACAAACCCTGATTATAAGGTTCTTCAATCTTGTTATGGAATTAAGTTTTGTCAATAAAACCTGTCCATCCTGTCACCCAGTTAAATCCACCAAGATCATTCCTAGAAAGAGAAATGTTCTACTAACTAAGCCAGACATGTCAAACTCGCGACGTCATGTGACATCGCGCAACGTATCAGAGTTTTTTCTCTGTTGCTGGCAAAGGAGGGGGGGACCGCGGCTCCGGTATGATGAAACTGGCTTGCGGGCCGGCAGTTTGACACCCCTGAACTAAGCTAATTCTCTAGTCAACCCTGAAACCCAGAGGCAGAAAAAATACATCACTCCACAAAAGAAAGTCAAGTGAGGTTTTTTCCATTGGCACATAAGCTTGGTCTCTTAGAAAGACATTTGTGTGTGCGTGAAATCTACACTCTAAACCAGTGTTTCTCAAACTTGGCAATTTTAAGATGTGTAGACTTTAACTCCCAGCATTTTGTTCTAAATCATTTTTACAAATGTTTATTTTTAAATTGGGATAAAGTCTTAATCATGAATTCAGAAAAAAGATGCTCTCTACTTGAGAATCTGGAAGTTGCTTTGTTGACTTTTTCTCATCTTGTTACCTGTAGCTTTAAAAAAATCCAAGGGTTGCTTTTTAAAAATTAACACAAACTCTTTATCCATATGAAACCAGGCAGGATTAATGTCCTTTGAAAAGTCCCGTTCCTGGACTTCCAGTTCCATCTTGCAGCGATGCGGCCGAGGGACTGCAGAGCTCTGCACCCACGACTGGTTTTGCCCTGCCAGGGAACCCTAAATGGGTCTGATGTTGCCCCAGAGAGGCGGTGAAGAAAGAGGGGCACCCCAATGATTACAGAACGATGGCAGTCAATCAGTTTGATCCGGGGGAAGCCCTCTAACCCTACAGGAGAAAGGCTAGCTGCACACCAGCATCTAGCCCAAGCTGCTAGTAGCCTAAGTCAAGAACACAAACCAGAACAACGTTGAACAGCGTGCGTGGACCTGGGTGAAATTATCTGTCTCCTCTCTTGTATTTTGTAACTGATTCCTTGGAAAAGATCCCCAAAGCAAGAAATCTTCTGAAAGTGAAGGGAGGGGATTACATCCCCACCTCTCCATAGACAGAAGTGTCGAATTAACTTCCAAGGGGGAAAGAAATAACTGAAATGAAATTAATATTACTATAGTCTGGATAAATTAAGATTTTATATCCTGGATTACAAAAAACATATATAAAGATAAGAACTATATAAGAGCTGGTTGTTTGGATTTTAAGATTGGATGGTTTGATAAGGCTAAATGCAGAGATTATGGTACTGGTAAAAGACTACCTGGAGGGAGGAGACAAAATAGATATTGCATATCTACCTAAAAGTGACAGGAAACTACACCTAACATTCCTTTCTGAAGGACCTAGCTTGGAACATCAAAATCTGCAGGAGCAATACTCCAAGATGAGACAAATACTTTCCAGGAGGAAATATATGCAATGCTATAACAAATTCAAATGACAATGGTTTCAAACCATGATGAGATTAAAAACAACTTTGATGACATAAATGAGCACATTTTTAATTTAAAAATCACAAATAAAAAACTCTTAGAAAATGACGATAAAGAATGAACAAACAAACCAGATAACAGAACACAAATTAGAAGAAAGTGACTTAAATAGGGAAGCTACAAATCAGGAGAACTACAACTTAATACAAACAGAAAAAAATCTACAAAATTTTGCCACAACAATGAAAATGGAAAAGATATCTGTCAGGACTTCAAAACAAACTTGAGGATAAGAAAAAAGATTTAGTAAAATAGATTATAGAGCTGCCAGGAGAATCATTAAAGTCTGGGAGACAAAAAGTGTACATCATATACAACTTATCTTTCTCACTCCCAACAATATTTACAAAAATACAGGAATCCCCTGGCAAGCGGAATATACTAACTTGGAAAGCTACTAGGCAAAAGAAGAAGGCTAGAGTTAGATTCAAGAGATCTGATTCGACTTACCAGATGGAGTACTACATGATTAAACACTTGTTTGAAGATGGTTAAAAGAATAGATAATTTGGATATAAAGGAGCTATAGTAAGAGAGATAAAAGACATAACATAAGTAGTATAATATTTTTTATAATATATGAAATGTAAAAATATTGGGATGATGTATGTGAATGAAAAGTTAGGACACTTAAAGGTAATTAACTTTGAGAGAAGTATGATTGAGAAGAATGATTTGAAGACTTAGGGAAAACTAAGCTTAAATAAGAATTTTGAAAACAAGACATATAGTGATTTAACAAGATGACTATTACAAATATAATTGAAACATAAGCCGACCAGAAAAGATGTTAAATGTGGATGTTATAAAATATATAAGTAGTATAGTATCTTTATAATATATGAAATATGAAAATATTGGGATGGTATAAGTAAATGAAAAGTTTGGATATTTAAAGGTAATCAATTTTGAGAAAATTATGACTGATAAGAATGGTCTGAATATTGAGGGGAAATTAAATATGAATAAGAATTCTGAAAACAGGATGTATAGTGATTTAATAAGATGACTTTTACAAATACAATTGAAATATAAGTCAATCAGAAAAGATGTTATATTGTTACTTGTACAAATACAAAAAAATGTCTATATCTAACTTTGTATGCATTGAAAATATTAAGAATTATATCTGTCTAATGCTGATAAAGGAGAATATTATTGGAAGAATGGAAGATCAAGGAAACAAACAATTAATATATTATGGAATTATAAAAATTATTATTGATTGTTTTTTAAATATATGAACCCAGACAACATGCTGTTTACTAAGCACTAAAGATTGTCATTGTAAAAAAAATCAATAAAATATATCTGTATTTTATTCTAATTCATTTTATTTTATTCCAATTTCATTTTAAATTGTATTTGATCTAACTCCATTTTAAATTGTTTTTATCAAATTTTAGTAATAATTTGTTTCTGGAACTTTGAACTTTGATATGGCCCAAGGGCAAACAAACAAACAAATAAATGTCAATAAAATATATTTAAAAAGAAAAAAAAGAAAAATCCCATTCTTGCTATTTTATTTCCATTCTATCAAACAATGAAACTGTTGAAGGCATTTGATGCTTGCCCAGTAAAGCTTATGCATGTATCTTTTTGTTTCCCCCAAATTGAAGCTCGAATTGCAGATTCAAGAGCCCAGATTGAACTGCTTTGCCCTGGAACCACGAAGTCAGAATGAATCATGCCCCTACAGTTCAAATTTAATCAGGGCTGATTCGCACAGATTTATTAAGGCTTTCTAACATGCTTTGTTCATTCATTACTTCAGTACAGCACTCTGTCTAACTGAAGAGAGAAACCTTCTTGGTTGGGGCCATTCTGGGTAGTTACCCAATTTTAAAAATTAAGCACTGACCCTTTCCAAGTGTGACCAACAGCTGCATGAAACATTCAAGACCCTCTCTTCTGAGCATCCCTGAGAACAGCTCCAGCCTTTCTTACCAATTATTAGTAGCAGCCAGGCTACTTTCGATTATAATACCCCCTAACACGGGAATGATAGCAACTCTGATGAGAGAGCTGTAAAAGAAAATAGACCCTCACTTCTGCAAATCGATTCTGCAGGTT